TTTGTATAACAAAAGCTCGATACTTGTTATAATCTCTATAGAATAAATTAAAGATAAATATTTGAATTGTTTATTTATATTTTATAATAATGATAACCTGAACAAAGGTTTCAATTAGATTAAATAAAGATGATTCGATAGATTGCTAATTGGAAACTATTGTATTATATATAGTTTAATTGTAATGATATTTAAAATGTAACGATTTAATAAAGATAATGACTACCTCAAGTTTTATATAATTAATAATTGTAGATTAAGATTAATAATTATTAATTATTTATTCGAAGATGAATATATTATTAAATTAATTGAAATATAGATAAATTAATTAATAATTAAATTGAATACAAAGCTTTTAAATTATAAAATTATTTTGATTATATATTAATGAATATAAAAAAGCTTTATAAAGTTTTAAAACTCTAAAAAACTTTTAGAACTCTAAAAGCTTTCGAAAATCCTAAAACTCTTCATTATATAATTAGGATCAGATTATATATCTAAGCTTGCTAAAGGTGGAGAGACTATATAAGATAATTATTATACAAATTTGTATACAAATCGTCTTGCTTTTCGATAATGCCTAAGCTTATATAGACAAGTTGATTGTTGCCTCTCAACATATTATAATCTTAATCGTAAATTGTAATATATCTATATTAAAAATAAAACTTTTTATTATACTTTTTATAAACAAATAAACATCATTGAAATATTATTTATATTATAAAAATCAATATTATAAGATTTTATAAATCTATTATCAAAATCTAAGAATCCAATGATAAAGATAATATGTAATTATTTTCTTATTATAATAAACAAACTAATAAAATATCTAATATTTGTATTATATTAGATAATATTAATTATAGAAATACTAGCTTTTATATTTCTGAAAAAAATTATTATAATATATAGATTACTAAAAGAAATACTCTTTGATAAAAATAAACTTTTTATATCGAAATTTTGAATCATTTTAATAATATTATTAGAAATAAAAAGGAAAATATTTATTATATTCTATTTATAAACCAATAAAAAAAATAAAAGAATAAATTAAATTATCAAAGTTTATCTTCGATATTATATAAATTATTAATAGAATAATTGAATAGAACTTTTATTTTTAATACAATTTATATATAATAATTCAATATTGAAAGTAATATAAATTATTTCAAATTATATTAATTATAGATACAAGTTGATTATATATTATAAATTAAGAATTATAGAAATAGAAAACTAATTTGTAATAATATAAACAAAAAGATTTAAGAAAATATACAAAAAAATAATAATAGAATTAAAGTTTGTTATTAAAAGAAATATATATTATTATAATCGAAAATATAATTAAAAATCAATATTAAAAAAAGAAATAAAATCTATTTATTTCGAAAGAATATCGAAACAAAAAGATTTAATACAAAATTAAATTACGAAAAACTCAAATCATTCAAAATCAAGAAAATTAAAGGATCTTTAAATTATAAATTAGTATTATCAAAAAGTATAAATATATATTCAATATTTTATATATCTTTATTTGAATTAATATTCTCAAAAGTATCAAAGGTTTTTGAAACAGAAATTATATTTATAAACCAAAATATTGAATACAAAATAATGAAAATATTAAATTACAAATATATTAAAAACAAAATCAAGTATTTGATAAAATAGAAAGATTATTCTGATTCCGAAAATATATAAGAATTTGAAAAAGAGATTAAACGTTTAAAGAAGTTCTAGAAGTTTTATTAATAGAATCCGGATTTGTTTAAAAAGAAAAGAAATTTATTATTTTTTACAAAAAAAGAATTGAAAGAATCGAAATTGTTTATAAGAATTTTATTAGAATTAATAAGATCAATTAATAATTAATCAAATTAATCAAATTGATTAAATCGATTAAATTGATTAGAAAACAATAAAAAGATTACAGGAATTTCTTTATTTTTTTCTTTTCGTTTTTTTTCTTCGAAAATATCAAGTTTATTAAAGTATTTGAATCTGTAATATAATATTTCATTATATTGTTTTTTGAATTGTATCTTTTGTTTAATAAAACAAATAGTTTTAATAAAAGATTTAACAATTTCAATATTTAATTTATCGATTTATCAATCAAAACTCTTTTAATCATATTTTCAAAGAATTTCATAATCTTAATTATTTTTCAAATGAAACTCAATATTACAAAAGATAAAATTTTATATATATTTTGAATAATATAAATAATATTTATCAAAAAGATCTTTAATATAATAATGATTTTTCTATCGATAATAAGAATAAGGAATTATTTCAATATTAATAAAATCAATAATTGTAATCAAATATATATATTCCTTTTTCTTTTTTTAAATTAAATTATTAGAAAAATCAGAATTGTTTATAATGAAGAAAGAAAGATAAATAAAATATAAAAAAAAATATTAATTACTAAATAAAATCTGAAAGATTATAAATAATTGAAATAATATTTAATTAAGAAAGGAATAATATTATAATTTATAATTAAAATTATAATATATTGAAAGATAATAATCAATTTGTTTATATAAGCTTGAATCTTTTTGAAAAGCAAAACAATTTGTATATAAATTTATATAACAATCGTTTTATATAATCTTTTTATCTTTAACAAATTCGGATATATAATCTAATCCTAATCATATAATAAAGAGTTTTGAAAACTTCAAAAGTTTTTAAAACTTTAAAACTTTACAAAGTTTCTTTATATTCATTAATATATAATCAAAATAGTTTTATTATTTAGAAATTTTGTATTCAACTTAATTATTAATTAGTTTACTTATATTCCAATTGATCTAATAATATATTCATCTTTGAATAGATAACTAATGATTATTAACCTTAACCTACAACTATCAACTGTACAAAACCTCAGGCAGCCGCTGCCTCGACCAGATCGCTATAATCAACTTGTTAATATCAAAACTTTATTATATATAAGATTTATTTGATATAAATGATAGAAAATAAGAAACTTGTTTAAATGAATTATAATTCTTATAATCTGATTGGTTTAAAATACCTCAGTAAATAATATAATAAAAATTTTGATATAAACTTTACAATTTTAAACAAATCTAACTTAAAGTTTTTTTCAACTCAATTGAAATCATTGAATTCAAAATAATAATAATAATAATAATAATAATAATAATAATAATAATAATAATAATAATAATAATAATAATAATAATAATAATAATAATATTATTATTATTATTATTATTGAATGAATGAGATGAATTAAATTATAGATTGAGTTAAATGATTTCAATATAGTTGAAAAAAGTTTCAAATCAGATTTGTTTAAGATTATAAAATTTATATCAAGTTTTTTATGAAATTTATTTATTAAGATATTTACCAGGGTATTGTGACATACAAGAGCCTTATAAGAGCTGAATAAACAGGGTCAATTATATTCCTTAGAATCTACAACTGAAGAACTATAACTCGTAGGGAGCATCCATATATATATACAAAATACCTATACGGTAGCTGCATGGTTGTGCGCTTCCTTCCTTAAGGTGACCATAATGCCATACTAAAAAGGGTGAATTTGGAAAAATGTGCACAGACTATCAGCTCACCGATAGGAGTTTGTCGATCAACTGAAATCATGTGATCGTCCTTTATACAAGGTCTGTGACAGGTATTTACCAGGGTATTTTAAACCGATCGGATTGTCAGGATCGCGATTCACTTAAACAAGTTTTTTATTTTTTATAATCTATATTAGATAAATTGTAATATATTATATATATAATAAGGTTTTGATATCAGCAAATTGATAATTAAAATATTAAATAAAACTAATATAATATCTATTAATTGATTTTCATTTATTTTTATTAAAAAAATAAAAATTTACAATATTTTTTCACTTAGATTTCATTATACAAATTTTCAATCAACGTGATATGATTGGTTAAAGCCTCTGCAAATAGAGAAAAGCACGGTCATTTTTTGATGTGTCTTACAATACTTTCGCTAGCAAGCTCTGTAGGAAGTTATGCATTATATTTATACCCAGCATTTAATCATTATGCACAGGAAGTGTACTCCTTAATGCCTTGAATCTTTCCGCCTTGAATTTTGGATGATGCTCTAGAATTAACTGACCGACTGGGCAGAACCAGAATGGTGGGATGAACTTTTCGGCACGTACCTCCGGACACAGACAAGTACTTCATATTATTGTTCACACACAGCGGTAAATGTGCACAATCTTGCGAGTACATCAAATGACAACTATTTCATGTTCATTGACTGAATCACAACTGTACCTACATGCTCCGTACGTATGTATCCGTGTATTTATTCGCGGATAAATCCAAACGATAGAACCATTCATTCCCTCCTACCTGTTCTTAGGTCCCTAGGTAACTACTGCCAACTCCACGAATCCACAGTCATTACAACCATTTTTCTCCCTCCCTTCAGCCTCTATTCAAACATGGCGTTCCCCCCTCTAATATCAAACTCTACGTACTGTGCGACGTACGACGTACGACATACGACAACTCGGTGGGGAGCCGCTCTCGCAAAGAAGGATAAAAAGGATCCGCTTAAACCGATTGAAGGTAAAGAGCTTACGAATCCTAATTGCGCGTTCGAAATATGTTTGATGCAGTGATGGATGGTCTACAAGGAAGAGAAGGGGAATTCATAGGACATTGTTGGAAATTGTAGGGAATGTAAATCCTAGATGGGTAAGTAAGCATACGAATTGGGATTGGGAAGAGTAGTATTTGGTGTTGTTTGACCCTGGATCAGCTTGGTTCTTTTTTGAATATCGAATCTTACTTGCTTACTTACATCGTACATCTCTGCAAGTACCTTTATGTTCTATTTCTTCATTCTTTTTTGTTACTCGTTCTTGTGTTATTTTTATCAATATTTTAATATCACGACATCTTTTATTTGATCCCTTCTTTTTTTCTTCCTCACGAGAGAAAAAGGGCAGGTACAGATTTAGAGATCATCCACAGCTGAAAAGCCTCCCGCTTCTTGGCATACGCAACGCCTTATCCTCTTTCCTCTTGGCATCATCATAATCCTACGGTTTTTCAGGAACAACAGCGAAATAAGGCTGGAATCCATCAGAAGTGAGAAAAATATCAGAGAGGAATTGAATCCTTGTGTTTCCTCTTTTCCTATTTGGTCGCGGGTCGAGAGAAGGGAGAAGGGAGAAGGGAGAAGGGAGAAGGGAGGATTTGTTTACTGTTTATACTGGTTGGTGTGTCTGATTGCGATAATGCGCGCTTTTACACGATTAGGCGCTTTGGTGTTTGCGGCGGTGTTATCCTTGATGACTATCTTGGCATTGTTACCTCAATCGAGATATACCGAACATTTGAAGAAAATCGGATTAGGAGGGACGAGTATTAATGATGTTACCGATGGTTTATGGGATTGGGCAAATGGGAATCACGATGAAGGCGAGGAAAGTGGTATTAGATTGGTGGTTTTTGGGGATAACTGGGTTGATGATACCCTTGACGTGAATGAGGATGGGAAAGGAAGGAGTTGGACAGAAGTTCTTTGTGAAGAGGTATGTTTTTTGAGTTTGCTTTTTGCTTCTTGGTTTTTGAAGTCTTGTCGCTGTTAAATTTATACATTTACTAATGGAGTTTGAATAGCTTTCCTGTTCTGCGCATATTAATTTAGCAACTTCACAACCTCCATCTTCATATCCTTCATCACCACCCACAGGAGCTCTCGCATCAAATAAAATCTACCTTTCTTCTATCGAAAACACCCTCGGTCAAAATAATTCAGAAACAAAATTAACTACCGAATCCATGCTCCCAGATTTCGAAGCTCAAATAAAATCCTTCATCGCCCTTCCTCTTCCCAAAAAGAAATTAAAAGAAACAATCTTCGTCCTCTCATTCGGAACTTGGGATGTATGGCATTATACATCTCTTGATTACTCCAAAGCTAAAGAAGCGCAAAATAAAGCCGTCGAAGAAATGTTCGCTCAACTCGATAATTTATATGCGCATCATCGAGAAACGCTAGAAGCTACCCATATTATCGAGAAGCCACATAATAAATCTCACGTGGTACCGAAACCTCAATTCAGAGTCGTCATTCCAAAGTTATTCGATCCGACTATGTTACCCGGTTGGTTAAGTCAAAGACCTGTACCGTTAAGACCTAGTTCTGTGGCAGAACATCAGAAAAATGCCATTTCCCTTTTGAGGGATTGGGATAATAAGATGGAAAATAGTATTAAACCTTGGTTTGCTAGTACACCTGAACTTACTACTTCGGCTGAATGGATGGAACCGGTGCCACAGGGGGAAGTATCTGGAGAGGCAGTTCCAGAAGTTTTTGATAAGGATGAGCAGGGGAAAGTAGAGGGTCATGAGCAAGGTGGTGAAGGTGAACATCATGGACAAGATGAACAAAGTAACTCTCAATCTCAACCTAAGCGAGAAAAATCCGGGGACGAAAAGGAAAATCAAACAGAAATCCCTCCTCCGCAAAAAGATATCTATTATTATGATCTTCATCAATTTGTTCTTGAAATCATACTAGAACATCAACTCGAAGATGAAGGATTATCCGATGCTTCCGGACTCGGCACAAAAGAAAGCCCCTACATCTCAGTATACGATCCTTGCGTCCAAGAAAGCGAAGGAGAAGGAAACAATGAAAAGAGGAGAAAAAGCAAAAAGACGGAAAAGAACGGAGCGGGAAAATTACAAGAAAATAAAAAGAGAAATTTACCGGATATTAATGGTCTTTTGATCTGTGAAGCCCCGGATGAATATCTTTTCTGGGATGATTTTTGTATGGGAAGTAAGGCGAAAGAGAGGGTTGGGAGGGAGATTGGGGGGATGGTTAAGGAGGGGAGTTCGTTGAGGAAGGCTTGGGGGTATGGGGTTGTGGTGGGGGTTTAGTGGGTTTGAAAAAAAGGGCCTTGAGGAGGAAAGGGCTTTTTGAAGGTGGGAAGGGTTTTTGGGAGGTTTATATGATCAAAGTGAATAGGATGGGATAGGATGAGATGAGATGAGTTGAGTGATATCAATTTGAATTATGAAATTAGCGTGCATAGCATTTAAAAAATGTTTTACTATATAGTATATTAGTATAACATAGTATAGCATAACATTAAAGGTGTCCGGAGTTACAATCAAAGTTAGAGTTACAATTTATATTAGTATTAAATCTAGTATTCTACTTTTCAGCCAGTCTTAATCTCGGTCACTTTTTTACATCAAAAATCATCATTTTCAATTATTAATATTTCAATAATGAATGAATGAAATCAATTGAAATTTTAATTATTATCAGTTTGCCGATATTATAATCTTACTGTATACAAGGTTTATCTAGTGAGTAATAGAAAATGAAAAACTTATTTAAATAAGTCACAATTCTGATAATCTGATTGGTTAAAATACCCCGGTAAATACCCTGGTAAATAATCAAACAAAAGATTTAATATAAACTATACAATCTTAAATAAATCTAACTTGGAGCTTTTTTCAATTCAATTCAATTGAAATTGTTTAATTTTATTAAAATCATTCAATTCAATTTTATTTATTTAGTTTAATTTATTATAATAATAAAAATAATATATTACAAGGTAACAGTCAACCTGTCCATATGAGCTTGGGCCTCATCGAAAAGCAAGGCAATTTGTATACAAATTTGTATGGTAATCGCCTCATATGGTCTCCCCACCCTCAGCAAGCTCGGACTTATAGTCTGATCCAAGAGGTCACGTGATGGACCTTACATATACAAGGATACGAATCGTAGGTTTATACGAATTGTAGGTTTATATGAATCGTAGGTCCATAGGTCTATAGGATTCTACAGGATACAAAGATCTATATAAACCAGAGGGGTTTCCTGTATATAGGAGCTTCGTGCTCAAGATCAATCATTTAGTATATTCTACTATTAGTTACGAATTGCAACCATTGATATTATTTAAAACCCCTGCTTGACGCCTAGTTATAAACCCTTCGAGGATCCAGGCCACTTCCACGTGATCTAGATCGCATCCCTCGTAACATAATACCAGGGGCCTGCGCCCCCTGAACCCCTGGCTTTTCAAGACAGTCTAATGAAAATTTAAGGTTTAAAAAGTTTATAATAAATTAAATATTAAATATATATCAGGGTGCAGGTAGAATATCGACTTGTTTTTAATAATTGAAAATTAAATTATTTTATTTAAAAATAATAATTATAATATAATTTAATTATAAGATTCTTTAATAAGTTATTAAATCATTTAATAATATTAACTAAATTAATGATCGAATTATTATATAATATATTAATAATATTTATATATATTATTAAATTTTATTATTATATAAAATTTCGATTATAATTTATATCAGATTGATTTATAAAAGAAAAGAATAAAATAAAAATATATGAAATTTTTTATTTATTAGATTGAATATTATTGATTATTTTTATTATTATTATATAAAATAATTTTATAAAATTTAATTCAAATTAATTTTATTAAATATTATATAATATATTAAAATTTTATTAAATATTATAAATATAAAAGTTTTCTTCAAAAATCTTTTGAAATAACAAAATAAAAAAAATAATAAAATTTTTACTTTATTATTCTGATTTCAATTTATAATTATATTTAATTTTATTTTATTCTTTTATAAATTAATTTGATATAAATTATAATCGAACTTTTATATAATAATAAAATTTAATAATATATATAAATATTATTAATATATCATATGATAATCCGATCATTGATTCGGTTAATATTATTAAGTGATTTAATAACTTATTAGGAAATCTCACATTTATTATCGATTAACCTCCTCCGAGATGCTCATCCAATCTCAGCGGAGTGTTTTTTGCTTGAGCTTTATACTCCCTTGAACTTGTGACATGCTTTGAAGAATGGACTAATTAATGTGCTTCACTGTCAATACTATGGCGCTTGCCATATTAACTATACGCGCACTTTCTCGTGGTATCTCTATCACTGGATTCCATATTTAAGAGACAATCACAGTTTTTAGCCCAAACCATCGCATCATATCTAGGCTGGCCATAGTTAGTTTTCCAGGCTCAAAGCATCGGTTATATCAGCAAAGAGAGAAGCTGCGGGAAAACCTTGAAAGTAGATTGTGCATAAATAATCTATGGGTTTAAATTCAATAGAACGGTTAATTCAAGTGATAAACCTAGCGCTAGCTGCCTTATATTTTGCAGTCTTGCGGCAACACGAAATGTTCAATCTAGCAATTGATGATCAACCATAATAGAAACGAAGTGGAAGAACTCGGTGTGGTGCCGGAGTGTATGGGACTAAATTAGGAATATCGTGCTGTGTAATTCTATTGATCCAAGAATCATAAGTATAAAATATCCGTTAGTGCTCGGAGACATAACCGGCATATAGGAGAGGATTGATGGATTAGTGAAATACTTGATATACACTATATAAACCGTGCATACATGGGATAAATTATCAACAGTCTTGTAATAGTCAGCTAGCGACACTGTCGCAAGGCCAGGATATTCCGTTGGCTGGGTCTATTTGGGAGTCTAAATTCTGTACGGTATATTTTGAATAGTATTACACGCCTCCCCACATTCCGTACTCCTTATAGATGTTTAAGTAGTCAGATGACGACTTCATCACGCAAGCTTCAAGCACATATTAGGCATAATTAGGGGGAAAGCACATGATTCTGAAGTTTCAATATCGCGAAAGCAGCTCTGGGGAGTGTTCGGTTGCTTTCTAACTTTCTCTTTTCAATTGATGTTCTGTATATACCTGCCAGCTTCGTTTCTGACTGTATTTGAAGCGTGCAACAAATGGATTTGCGTATAAACTTGAACATATTGAAACCTTTTATATTGCCACGCTTGCATATGAATAACCTCAGAATTCAGCTTCTCCGATACAAGTAGGATATGCGTATTAATACGAGAATTGTCATATGAGTACATGTTTACGGTAAATGTGTGTATTTATCAAGAGCCATAGGCGCTGTATATTTATCCCAGTAAATTTGGCATCATATTTAGGGTTTACGGTGCGGTAGGGCTGTTTTGAAATATCACTACTGTATAAGAGATATTTATGAATAATGCTTGTTTTAGAAATCATAGTTGTTCTATCAAAAAGTAGGTATCTACTCATAGACCTTTTCAAGTGGTGGAATTTTTTACTATCATACTTTCAACACAAAAATTGATCGATAATTAGTCTCAGCAGGTTTCAGAAAATCATCAAACAAAGCTCTCAGGGAAATTCTCTCTAGCTGCCCATCATCAAAAGATTGCTTGTCGATTTATTCAATCATTTTACGAGTACTAGCATCATCATATATCCGAAAGATGTCTTACGCATTGACAAACTATCTTCCAACTGCTAGACGGCATAACCGAAGCGGAACTCCACCTGCAACTGGTCCTGGCTGCTACGGAAACACGGGAGCACTCTGGACTCAACAACAGGAAGAGTCTCCTCATTTGCTCATCCGCCGTCAAAATCGGAGTGAAGAAATTCCAAGACCTCTCTCACCAAACTACTCAATTGTCCCCTCGACGACTGGCCTCGAAAGAACATGGATTAAGCCTTCCCTAAAAACGTTTCCTCAATTCACGAAGTTTCTAGCCGAACTTCGAATCAAGATATATAAGTTCGCATGTCTAGAACCGAGAGTAGTTCCTATCTAGCCAGTCATCATCAATCGTACGAACAGACAAGTCGAATTTAGATTCCGATCCGAGACTCCTACAATCATGCAAGTCTCCTACGAAGCCAGAAAAGAATCACAAAGATTAGATATCTACCCTCGATCACCTAATTCTCCATTTCCATTTCCTCGCATCTGGTTAAAACCTACTGTGGACATCATTTGCCCTGTACGAAATGGCAGAACCCCGTGGACTGAAACCCAGTTTTCGATCTTCGCTCAAATAATTATCTATATGTGGATCGAACGATTAGGTCTTGATAACTTCGTTTCTCCAAATTACAAGTCCGAAGCCGCCCTAGACGAGTGGAACAACTTCGGCAAATTCGCGAAATGGATGAATCAGAATCTTCACCAAATCTTGCTTTACACTTCGTTGAAGCAGTTTAACATCCATTACCAGCCTCTCAAACTTGTTGAGACTAAAAACTACCCGGAGCAAAGTTCAGAGGTACTTATGATAACTTCTGTTGCAGCGCGCAGAAGATTCGAAGAATTGTATCTAATGATGCTAGATCTAGAAGCCTCCCGCACTGACCAAAATATAATAGGTGAAGTTTATGAGGATTTTGCCAGAGAGAAAGAGAAGATGCCATGGGTACCTGGTTGGCTCTACGAACATGGAAGTACCTGGGTTCGGCCAGAACCTATATCCTTATCTGCATTGTAGACCTACGGGAAAAGACAATTTGCCTCGAATATTAGGCACCAAATTTTTGGGTGAACATCTCGGGTAAATTGTAAACCTCTTTAGACTGTCGGTGACTATATTTCTATAAGCTGCGATTTAGCTCTATAATTTAATAATCTAAGCTCTGCAGCTAATCCAGTGCAACTTTGACAGCTGCGCACGGAAAGAGTACTTAGGGCATGACATTAGGGCGGTCACATCTACATTCTAAAAAATATGGTTGTCTTGTATGATGGCAGAAAGATCACCAATCTCTTTCTCATTGATATTTCAAGTCATGATGGACTTTGGCTATGCTTTCTTTTCAGTTTTTTACAAATAGATAATGCAGGGGTTAGTGTTGATATCTTTCTGTGAATAGTAAATCAAGTAGTCCTCTACAGATTTTGTCCCCTTTCGTGATCTATCTGGTGAAAATGCACTTCAAGCAATTAATTCTTCATAGAGTGCCGCAGACGTGAGTATATAGTTGCCAATGCCACAAAGGTCACATGGCATAGTGAGATTCTGCGTACTTCAATGCTTCAATAGTGGGTGCAGAAATTCTGTAAGCATAATTCAGTGAAATATCAAAACTCAACATTTTCAAATTAATATAATTCGATGATTATAATATGCTATTTAATGAAATTTTGAAATTATATAAATTGAAAATGAATTTGTCTTTCATTTATTAAAAATCTCAAATTCTAAAATTTTTGAAAGTTATTAAATATTTAATATAATATATTTGACAATAGTTAATTTATAATTTTGAGATTTGTATATTTCAAAAATTATTTATTGATATCTTCTATAATAATTTGAATAGATTTATATGCTTTAGTTAAGAATTGATTGTAAAAGGCTATAACTTGAATTTATAATCATTTTCCGAAATTGTTGATATTTCCTTGATTTTGGTGAGGATTGAAAAAGTGCTTACCGAATTTCTGCACCCACTGTTGCTTTTTCGACATGGGTCTGCTCTGAGTCCCGAACGAGGTTAATTGACCGTACAAGCCGTAATTTACTGTATAAAGCCAGTTAAATGCCTTATAAGGCCAACAGCACCTCGAATTTGTCTCGTATCGGATAATCCACTGAGTATATCCCCGGAAATTGCCTAAAATAGCTGAGCGCAGTGACCTTCAATCGCTTCGCTCGTGGTGTATAAAAGACAGAATCATAACCTCCCTCTACAATTTCTACACTTCAAGTTTACAATGAAATAAAAACTCTACACACTCTTGACACCGAGCTAAAGCTTTACGATTAAGAAAAATTCAAACAACATTAAGTTGAACTCGACAAAATCTTTACATTCTCTATATCTGATTTTAGATTCTTTCGCGGATAAACCCCTTCATCCGTGTCCCTTTCAAATTGTTCGATCCATACCCAACATCATTCCAATCGATGATAACAACAGTCTGTCTATCTATAGATAGTTGTGCTAACTCAAAGTCTTTATCAAGCTCGTTTTTCAACCGAAATTCTACGATATTAAATGTTTACTGTCTACTACGCAAGCTATCGAATACAAAAATAGTCGAAAGATATTCTAAAGCATATTAAATATGTCTGATTCATCAGCCATCTTCAAAGATCAAGCCTTGATCGCGGCAAGATCTCCCGCAATTACATTTGAGAAGTTTGGAAAATTCCCTGCCGAAATCCAGCACATGATCTGGAGTTTTGCATCACGTCAGGAACGCGACATCTCAGTTCATGTAATCGAGAAAACAATATCGGCGGAGGAAACAAACAATCCAAATCGCCCAGATATTCATATCTACGCCTTCAGAAGTAGTAGTCCCTTTCCACAGATGATGCACGTGTGCCATGATGCCCGTGAAGCCGTGTTGAAGCATCACATACTCGCCTTCGGTGTTGAAGAGCAGTTCCATGATCTTGCGCAGTACCATTATGCAACCGCTCAGATTTACTTCCGCCCAGAATGCGACACCATCTGCCCGATGCCCCTGTGGAAGGCGGAACAACAAAGAGTTTTCGTAGCCAAGATGCGGGACTGCAAAGTTGAAAAGGTTGCCTTGAGTGATTACTCTTGTCGGGAAGTATATAGAGGAGAAGCGGATCGCTGGGGCGACTACCAAACACGTCGAGTTGCCATGCCTCTAACTTCAATCACTCCCAAAACACTAGACTGGATGACCGAGAACATCAAAGAGATCATTCTCTGGACTCAAACGGAAGCTTTGCCTTTGAGTTCCTCCCTCATATTCGTAGACTACAAAAACTGTAGTCTTCCTATTACAATGCCACATCGTCAAGTGGAAAGTTGCGAACACTCCATGGATAGTGTCACTCTTTGCATTGATGAACTACTCAAAGCTCAAAAAGAGCAGAGAGATGCGAGGAAGGAGGCTGATTTAAATGGATTGCAGCACAGGAAGGTTCTTGATTGTCCTCAATGGCTTTACGACAACGTTAACAGCACAGACGATTGGAAAGCACCCACGCGAAAGCTCAAATGGCATTTGAGTAAAGATATGCAGGTTGCATCTTTGGCAAACGCAGCGACATCTTTCATCGGCGGATACGTCTTTTCTTTGGTTGGATTATTTAGAAGCCGACCAGGGGCATAGTGAGGAAAATGTAGTTGGGGGAATTTTCCAGGGGGATTCGGTTAAAAGAGCCGACATAACCGGCGGTATTGGATTTAAGATGATCTATTTGGAGTACATGAGAATGCCGTCCGCATTAATGCATAGTGTTCCTGGCTGATTGCGGTAGAACCGCAATCTTAGCATGAATAGCATACTTGTTATATGATTTGGAAATAGCGGGATATTTTATTACAGATATATTCGTTGAGATACGCTTTTTTTGTCTGTGGCTCTCTATGTTCATGAGATTGGTTGGCAGCGAACGACTTTACCCTATCTTGGTTACTGAGTACATAACTCTTGTGATTTTACTTTTGTGATTTTCTACATGACTATGATCTTGAAACTAGTATTGTGCAACATGCGACTAAAGTTTTGGTGATCTAACTTCCATCCTGAGTCTTTATATGTAAGTTAAACTATCACTAACGATTGCATCTATGTATGATATGCCAGACTATAAGATTCTCGTATTGATCACAACACCATCTGTCACCAGTATCTACTAAGTTCCTCGATTATCAGTACGCTATGGTTTTTGCTATTGATTTTGAGGATTTTATCACTAACTAGGAATATGGACAGCGGCGAGGTTCTTTCAATATGAATTGTATAGTTGTGGTACATAGCAAAAGTAAAAATATTCCCATATGGTTAAAAATGTATAGAGAAACGAAAATTAATCTAGCACTACAGCAGAGTATTGAATATAGTGCATTCAACACAAGGTAATATGTCTACAAACGTAGAGCCTTCTCAGATCGCCGAAATTAGTGATGGGAATAGTATGAATTAGTAATCTGGTAGCTGATATTGAGATACTTGATATTACTCCAATACTTTTAAACCATAGTGATATTTGCTATAATACATCTATACTTTAATATACACCACTGAATGTACACGGAGATATCGGAAGTCAATGCATTCCTTTCGAAATAAATAATATTGAAGGTATATCCATTAGAATTTACAGAATATCAACCATATCCTCGGGGCAGGGTTTCTGTTCGGGTTAAGAAAAGACTAGAGGATTCTATAATGCTGGTGTTGGCTTATTCTCGTATCGCAAACTACTTAACAGGTTTCTTGCTTGAGGAAGAAATAAATCAAAATAGCAGGGAGGCTGCTAAAATCTTTTCCCGGGGATGGCGGAAAGGAAGATGGAAGCACAGTTTGATATTTTTCACATAGATTGAAGATGTATCTCATTCCTTTCATAGGTAAGTGGCAGTATTCATCCAATTTTATCTCACTTCATAGTGATAAATCATCTCAGAGCCACTTCCCATAGCCCATCAACTTCATAGCCATGAATACTTGGTAGTAGAACCTAATCATGCCAGAAAGTCTCTTCCTGTGATATCCTAAATGTATAAAATGCCATGAAGTGTAAAATAGATGTTAATGAAAAGTATGACGGGCTTCGCTATGAAATACGGTTACTGTCTCATAATACGGTGAAACACAGTCTTGAGTCTAGCAAGACTTTATCTGATACGTACAGCAGACATACTAAAGAGCTAGGGTCTAGTCGATCAATGAAGGGAGAAATTTAGTATATATATTTTGCGATGAATTTCCATGACCACTAAAATTATTTATAAGCAAACATTATATTCTTCTGCGATTTACATCAATGTCCAACAAGTCATCTTTTAGCCCAATACCTATCTGTGATAAATATCAACCAACTAGGTCTTGTACGCAACCATAGTCTTAAGTTTCTACTCCAACCAACGAGCTCCTCAACATTTCAACTAATATCCAATCCATCAATTTCTATCAAATTTTTTAATCATCCACACCAGGTTTGCAGCATAGGAGTCCGAACCGAAAACTAGAGCTTCGCTCTCAGCATTATGCACGGAAACTAAACCAACTGCTACTTCGATAGTCTGTTCGTAGCCTCATTTTTTACTTTTGCTCTTTTGCACACTTATGCATTACCATATGTACTAGTCACTTGTTTGGCTATCATATTTCTTATCACTAATTCCAACAGTTTTCATTTTTCCGGGGTTCCCTGAATTAGAAGGTCTTGAGACTGGCTTATCTAAAATGCTCTATTCCAAAAATCTCCAAACTTTTTTTCTTTGTGCTTATTCTTTCACGCGTGAGCTTGCCCAAGTAATTTATGTTGTGTTAAATAGATCCACTTTAACCATTGTAAATAGTGAAAATAAAACTAACCGATATAATAGAAAAGCAGGATATTAACTCACGGGGTATTTGTTGAAGCCATTCTTCCTCAAGCCAAGCAAGAAATGTCTTCCGTTATTCGAAAAGTCGGGACTAGACCCGACAAAAATGCGATCAGTTTGATTACACAATCTTTCCACCAGTTCGTTCAACTTCCACAGGAGCTTCAAATCAAAATCTAGGAGGCTGTGTGTGAGCATGGTAGATATGTGACCGTGTACAGAAAGAATAGAATTCTCCAGACAACGCAAAATCAAGGTCAGGGCACAATGTCCTTCGTTTCAAAAGCCACAATACTATTCCTGCAATTATGCAAGTCAGTCATCTCGCGCGAGGAGCTGTCCAGGGGGTGTACAAGCCTGCGTTTCACACAAGAGCTCGTTTGCCTGCACTTGCTATTCTGGGTGAAAGCATAAATGCCACGATTTGGATTAATCCTAAGGTCGACACTATCTGTTCATTATCCATATATTCTCTATCTTCGCGACGCGAGCTTGCAGCTCAGATGTCAGCTCTGAAGGTCTCACGTGTCGGAATCTTAGATGGTTCATGGTACACTGAAAAGCATATCTGACCTGATCGTTGGAATGGCTTTTCCCTTGCTCGAGAAGAGAATGACGACCTACCCCTTTGATTGGCCTGTGATATTAAGGAGGTCACATTGTACAGTTCAAATGGACCAAGAGCGCCATTGGGCGCCTTGAATTTGACGAGCTTCGATTACACAACTGCGAACCTATCAACATGTCAAAACCAAACAAGGCATAAACAAATGCGCCAATTCAATAAGTACATGAAAGATCTTGAGAGTGCACAAGTCGCCCAAATTAGATGCGATAAACTGACCTCGTTCCGAGGAGAGCAGGAGCTAGACTCGCCTCTTACTCAAACTGGCTTTATGACATGTGCGAAACAAAGCTGTGCCGGAACTGAAAATCATGATTGTAAATTTATGATTGTTATTTTGTTGGAAAGAATTGGTTGTTTTCAAGGGACAGGGTCATGATAGGGAATTAAGAATCACCAGCGGTACGATGTGCGAGGCGTATGCCGCACGGACTCGTGGGGTTATGCGGGAAAAGGAATCCGATTGATGCTTTCAATGCTTCTGATTTGGGATATTAGGGTTGTATGTTGTAGAAAAGACCTCTAGAGCATTACACAGGCGCTTCTGAATACATGGGAAGAACATGGAGTATGATTGGTATTTTGAATCCACGCTATGCTGTTCCAGATGCATGACACCAAACTTGTCTATATCTGCACGAACGGCTACATAATTAAATTTAGGACCCAAGGTGCCATTATAACGCCGGTTTTATGTGTGACATGGGATGATTAAAGTCTCTTCGGACCGTTTCCCTCTCCTATTAGCCTTGGAAAGGTTCAAAAGTATGACACGGAATTTTAGTTATTAGGTGATTGCCATTCTTAGAATAGACAAATAACCATCCAATAAACCAGCAATACTCCAATTTCTTTGATTCAAATCAACATTATGAATTATGTCTACTATGTATTTGTACTACAGACTAGAGTATGGAATTTGGCGTTTTGATGATAATGTCGCTAATGTGGGGTAAAATCTCGACTTGCGTTGGATTGGTCCAATTAGCGACATTGAGGGGTAAATCGAGGCTGGGGAGCTTCATCTGCAAAGGGAGCCATGGGACTAGTAATCCGCATTTAGGTGGTGTAAACGTAAGAATCTGAGGAGAATGATTTTTGTTACTGTTCTGACGGAATTTTTAGTGTGTTGCAGGTTTTTGTTTGATGGTCTAGTTCACTATGAGGAAATTGTCGAATTTGCGCCTTCAAGCATGTAGCAGCTTCTTTCGTATATTATTGCCTATTCCTGATCGATAAAAAATTGTACAGAAAAATGAATAGTAACCTGAGTCTGGGTGAATGTAGAACCTAATCTGTGGATGAATTGGGGAATTGTGATTGTGCAGGTAGAATTAGAAGAGTGGAAATTAGCAGTGCTTTGGCAATCCAGTACTGTTGATGCGTTGCGAACGTAAGTAAGGACTTCCAAGAGAGCTATACCTGCAGCATCTAGCCCTTAGCTTGTCGCTGGAAGTTTCCAGACACAACGAGAAATGAATAAATGGATAGCAAACCAATGATATTAGCTTCTTGAGCTGAAATGGGACCCATGAACTACGAGCAAGCTAAAATTACAAACGGGACATCTTATGACTCGTATGTGCTGAGATATTGAAAATCGGTGATAGGAAACTCCATAGATACTGTAATTTTGACTATAATATCCTCTCAGTGTCCGCTACTTTGGTCGCCTCCCCCTGAATGGTAAGTGCAAGCAATTAGAAACTATTTTCTGAGTGTCATTTAAAAGCAAACAGTGGTCACTTTCGCGCTCGGGGAAATCACTGTATAGTCCATTGATCAAGAGAGACCAAGAGTCCCTGATTGCGACCGAAAATTAGATTCGTTCGCCGTATAAAATAAAACACAATAGAACCCGAGATCGATCATGTAGCAATGGTAGGCCACTCAGTCGAAATCTCACGTGCGAAAATTTGTACATATATTTTTTGTTATTAGCAATCACAGGAACGACTTATAAAGGCTGGAAAATCTTCAATTTTACACTCCCAACTTTCTCAAGGTACGCATTTCGCTCTTACCACTTCTCATGCTTGTAAGATTACCATTGCATTCGGTTAATTTTCAGGTAATTTTGCGTCGTATCAGGGATACCTTGTTTAATTTAATTTAGATGAAGCACTCTGTATGTATCTATATCTTTGGGAACAAATGCTCTCGCATATATTTCCTTATGGGAAGGCTTTCACAAGACGATTACATTAACAATAATCCTCTGCATCGTTTTTAGACTGGTTCAGGAAAGTTGGTTTTGAAGTTGTGGTTCAGTAATGGAGATGAAAAGCTCGTATATTGACAGTATTCCAGACTTTGAAGTCGAGATAACAGCCCTGTGCAAGTAGAAGTCCGAGATTCACGGTCGTGCTTAATATCATGAAACCGACCTGGAACAAAGTAAATAATCCTATTAGTAGCACAACACTACAACATACGGTATAGAAGCTGCAGAATAAGTAGCCGCACGATTTCATCAACTACTCGCTTAGCCTCAAAAGAGCTAAATCTCATGATCCTTCGTTGTACGAGAGATGCGAAATTACTTAAAAGTCTCGGTGGTACTGCTCAGGGTTATATATCCAACATACGGTGTCTAACTTAGAGCATTGATTTGGTAGCACTACACCTTAGCGTAAAAAGACTGAGGAAACGGCCACGCAGGTTGATGAACACCTCGCTTGGTTCAGGATAGCCAAACCTCACAATTAGCGGTTGTGTATAATAAAGATAGCGACAAGAACTCATTAAATACGGCGATTTTGCCACTCTCTGGGTTAGGCAATACGTTCTTGATGGATAAAGATTTAAATAGATCTCATAATTACCTGTTGTCACTATCATCTTCTTAGGACATCTTCCTAAAACATAATTGGTACCATAACCAACTATCCAAATTTCACAAGACAAATTTGACTCCTATTCCTGTCGACGAGACCATAATATTCCTCTAATAAGCGGCGTTGATACTATATCATATTTTTGACGAACACTGCCTTTCCCTCTTTCCAAAGAGACGAACAATAGAACAAAAATGAATTCCATTGAAGCCCGAAGTTCAACCCAGGTTTCCTATCCGCTATCTCCTCCTCAGATATATCATGACTCTAATCCAACGACAATGCAGAACATACCACTAGAGTTGTTTGAGGTAATCTGGGAGATGGCAGACACCGGTGTACCTCGAAATGTTCCTGTAAGCTGCAGACATGTCGGAGATACTTTCGAGATATACAGTGCAAAGGTAACGTCCAATATCACAGCATTGAGCGTTCATTGGAGATCGAGGCAGTGGGCAAAAACGGAGAATAATGTAGCCAAACTTTTGCGGCGTAAGGGATACAAGGGACCTCTCGACCAGATTCGCTCGCTTTACTTCAATCCGAGACGCGACCGAATCTGCCCAGTCAATGAGATGTTGTGGACACCCAAAGCTTTTGAGCTTCTTCTTTGGGTCATGAATGCTACTGGATTAAAGCGAGTCGCAGTCAGTGATTGTTCCCACTTAACAGCCAATCTCAATAATCCATGGGAATTGTTCTTCTGGTGGTCGAACACCGAGAAGTGGAGCTCGACTTTTAGAGAGATATCGATGTACACAACGAAGTTTAATATTGATGTAAAACAAAGGACAACGTTTGTTGGATGGGCTGGGGTAGATCTCGAGCTCAGTTTACACCAGAAGCAGCGCCGCAACCTTCAGATCTTAAAGTCTCGAATTGCTTCCAGGAAAATTCAAGACGCTAGGGAAAAACAAGCCTTGGCAGATGATATCGCAGAGAAAGAGAGAAAGACTAGAACTAAGTTGGATGAGGTACCCACTTGGTTGTATGAGAGTTTACATGAGACAGGCGATTTTAATCTTCGGATGATGGTTGAGGTTGGCTCGCTTGATCCTCGGGCTCAAAATGTCATAGATGATACCAGCGATGACGATGATAGTGATGATGACGATAATTCGGATGATTCCAACGATGCGAATAACCTGAATGACGAGAGCGAAGAGAAGACAGATATTGACGAGGAACCAGAGGAGGATGATGTTACGCCGAGTAACATATTCCGCATCACATGACTAATCACGGGACCAGCATCGTCATGTGACCGGCTCTAAGGGATCCTCTAGAGCCAGCGGCTCTCGAGAATCTAATTAGAGTTATTAAAGCCAGAACATGAAGATCTATATAATCAGGATGGATTTCGTTATTGTAGAGTTTCATACTCAAGATCAATCATTTAGTATAATCTATTATTAGTTATGAATTGCAATCATATCGTTGTTACTTAAGTCCCTGCTTGACGCCTAGTAATAAACCACCTTGAGAGCCTAGAGCACTTCCACGTGATATATACGGCAACCCTCGTAACAGATGAGGGAATAGAAGACGAGGATAGTGACGATTATGTTGTAGAGGAAGATTAAAGATGTCAACAGAGAGACGACAGCAGAATTTGATCCGTAACACAAAAATATAACGAGCATAAGGATAAATAGATGAAGTAGCCTATCATAACTAAAGGAGATTCTACGACCATCAACTTCGACATCCATCGAACTCCCAATCATAAAATTCAGTGTCGGCTTCGCGCTCTATAGCAGCAGTCCGTGTCTGAAATGACCTGAATGGGACGATGCATGAGAAGTCTTTTTTAGGAACAGATAGAAATAATCAAGTTGGAAATGAATCAAAGAAATAATGAATATGCTACTTATTGTGATGTGCTGGTGAGTTTTGTGCCTCCTTCCATACATTTCAAGCTATACAAGTGACGGGTAATCAATAATTGAATAGCCACTGCTATATTGAGGCTGGGAATCCCCATTAAAAGCATTTCTCTATTGAGGACATGAGACATACCTATGACCCATATCCTCATAAAAAATGACTATTGGAGATAGTTGCGAGAGCTTTAGATTCTTACTTAAGACAGGAGCTAATAGCAAACTTCTGCGAACATTTCTTTCTCATAGTTGTATATATTTGTCTGGGCTCCACATCAGGAAGCAGACTTCTGAAAATTTCCTTTCCTAGGAGTTGTATATTTAGGCTGTGGCTCCTTTTAGACATGGTATGAGGTTACTATTTCCTTGGTCATTTATTCTAGACATCGAAAGTTGTGGTGCTCATTGGTGAATCTTGCTTTAGTTATGAATTTACCTTGGTCATATCGATGAATATATCGAGCACAACATGATCACAACCCGCAATTATCTTCTGGAAAAGATAGCATGTCATGACTGTTACGCGGTCTGAGATTGCGCTGAAAAATAAGGTCTCGTTGTGGAATTGAGAAAGCAAATACCAAAGAACTACCAGAAAAAATTACTAAATTACTAAAACTAAGGTTAAGCCCCAATCAACCTTCCTCAATAACTCACCTCACGAACTTTCGTCTATTTTTGCAATCCACCTAGCGCCATACTTCATAACAGGAGATTGGTGTAATGGTCTAAACCAATCAAACTTTTGATCAATTAAGCCACTTATCTGAGAAGCTTACTTGAGAAACCTCCAGCTCACCTCAATCAGTTCCGACTTTATGTACAAAATCTTTCCACCACAATTCCAATAGAAAAATGTCCGATTGCAATCTCATTTTCCTCTAGCCATGCATGTTTAACGTGATTATATCCAGTTAGAACGTGCAGAGACCAAGGCAACTTCAACCAAAATTTTCTTGGTCTACTTACTTGAAACACATTCATTATGTCTATTTCAAGCTCACTTCTTTTTACCCAAGATTTTGTCGGAATTTGAGCCCCAAAAGTCCTCAAGCTTTGTATCAGGATGATATTGATGCTAAAGACAAATAGCTATGGTAAACTTATGTGTAAATGTACAAAATAGTGTAAACATCCACCTAAGAAATCTCCAATTAGCCAAGTTCAAGCACGAGGCTTGCACTTGGCATATACCTCAATACTCCATGTCTTTAGCATGTATATGCCATGATATTCTTGCATCCAGCTTAGTTATGTTGTTTGCATTAAAATTGCATTGGGAGCACAGTCCTTAAATACAGTCCAGCCACGGAAAAAAGCCAGATTATCACGACAGTAGGTGAAGATATCACAGACAATACCAGATACGCCCCGTGTCTGGATTAAATTTAGTCCCTTGAGTTCTATCCGTTATGGGCAAAGTATGTGCCATAACGTACTGTATCCTGATAGGAATACTGGTTTGGTTCGAATCGAAAATGCGGTCTTCAATACCTTTAGAGACTGTAGTATATGTCTGTGTTGTATGTACTCCGCAAGTCTCTAATCTTTTTCGGGCAATCCATATGCAATGATAACTTTTGAAATTGAAGGTATAACTTTGTTTTGTTCGTAGAAGTACAAGACCAACAACCAAAAGAAAAAAACCAATTCCTTGAATCCGCCGTTGCTTCTTTCCATAGATCTGCTGTGATGAGACCGTACGTATGTGTATCATTAGCAAACGACTTTCCGCCGCCTATTCACCCTAGCCTTTTTCAGTACTCTGAAATTATATAAATCTTCAATATTTCCGATTGATACAGCAAATCGAATGATACCGAGTTCCACGTGCATTGAAAGTGCGTGATACCTACAATACCCGCATGTCCATATGTCATTTGGAACAGCCACCGCCTACCTTCAGTTCATTTCCACAGCACATCCAATTCAATTGGCGAACACTATAACACAATTCAAAAGCTGTTTATAGACCAATTTCTTATCATATCATTTTTCATCCATTTCAACATCCACGTGATCACAAATCTATACAGTAGTTTGACTAATAATAGCCTCCACTCTCATTCCTGCTCATTTTCCATTAGCGACCCCGCGATGATTTCCCGGACCATTCAATCATCCCCACCACTTCAAGACGAAATCGCCCAAACACACTCTTCAAACGGTACACTCTCATTAATAATCGCCTCAAAAACACCCCTAGCAATCACCTCCGGTAATCTTGGCACCGTCTGATTCGCCAACGCTACCGCTCCATCAATAACCTCCTGATTTCTACTCGGCACGTTCACAGAACCCAACGTCGCCTTAAACCTGGTTGCTTCTCGCACATATGCAGCTCTTTGAGCTAGGAGGTTGACAAGCTGGGCGTTAATGTCATTAATACCCGCGCGGACTTGGTCGAGGGAATCACAGCATTTTGTTCCATTAGGGAGGGTATAGGAGGGGGTACCCCATGGAATGGTGCGGTTCGTATTGGTTGGTGATGGGGTTGGGACTGGAGAGTTGTAGCATACAGATGCTGGGTCGGAGACTTGTGTAGGGGTGGTGGCGGAGATGACGAGAGGAGAGAAAGCGAGGAGGAGAGCTTGGGAAATGGTGATGAATTTCATGTTGGGTGATTGAAGTAGGTAGGTAAGGTTAATGATTGATTTATTATTAGTCGATGTTCGCTTTCTTTGTTGAACATTGAGGCTGGGAGCATACTTATATAGCACAGCCACCGAGGACGCCTTAAAAAGGAGTGAGACAATGTGGCTTACAGGGTAAATTATGCTGTTCTCGCCCCTGTAAACCTTATGTATGCGCTCGAAACAAGCCTAAACAGCCTATAATGGTTAGGATATATGAAATAGAGTTTGAGGCCTTTATCTGCATTTGTTCGGTCAAAACTCAATTATAGTGGATTACAGCATGCATACCCCCTAAATTACTCGGGGTTTCAAGTAATCCCACAACTGACAGTGGTGGGATTAGAGTACCGATAAAAGCAACAGAACCTTATAGATCCAAAACATACGACGAACTTATCATGTGGACTACAATATTATTTGTAGTAGTTAAGAAGACCAAAGACTCTGATCTGGCATATATACGGTGTGATGTCTCAATATAATCCTCGGCAAGTACAAAGTACGTTGTAGAGATTCTTGAAGCAAAGAAATATAATCTCTTATTATAAGGTTACCGATCTTCACATATTCAAAATGAATACTTGAACTCTAAAAAACATTACCAAAGTTACTTGAAAAATTAACATCGCGGTTACTCTAAATTCTAAAACTACAGAAAGGAAAATAATGGTTCTATTAGGATCCTCCTTGTATTCTCCTAGCACAATAGGGGTTGGAAGCGGATCTTCCCACGTCGTTTAACGTTCGGGATTCAACCTTAAAAGATGAAGGTTCAACCGTTTAATAACCTTACTGATTTTACAATATTTTTAAACGCTGTACCTATTCAGCATCTTTTTTTTTTGGAAGAGCATAACGATGGTGAAATAGAAGAAAAGTAAGTTTTTCATAGCTAAACAGATTTCTAAATAATATCAATTGTTTATCATAAGACTAAAAATTCACCAAATCATTACTCATGCATAGATGAATTTTTCTTGTCATGTGCCAAGATAGGCCAAAAAGTATATTTGATCTATCTAACATGCGGTGAACAGAAAACAGTAGCCTTGTAGTTCCGTTACAGTACTTGGACGGACATCTTATTTACAGGAACAGGAGGCTTAGGAATAAATTCGAACCTGGAATAAAGTCCTTAAGAAGATGCTGCGGTTCCATTCCACGAGCTAGTTCCATAACCAGCCCCAGGATTTCCAGTATCAAAGAAACCATTACCAGTAGAACCCGGGTGTCCACCATCAGCTTGCAGCTTTGCAGCAACACTGTAGTAAGTATCATTAGACCAATCCGCCGTCGTATTAATACCAATTTGAATCCACGCCAACAATCCATCCGTGATATCATCACTCAAATACATGAATTCAAGAAACGGATCAAAATCACTCTCGGCTTGGATAACGGAATACGTGTCATTGGCGTTGCTGGTGATGGGTTGAGTATTGGTGTTATACGGGTATGTAGCCTCGACTGCGGTACGGAGGACCTCGTTGTAGAAAACTTGTCCAATGTGTGTTACGGCTCCTCCTTGAATGGTGTTGTTGGGGAAAACGGTAACGTTGGTGTGGGCGAGCAGATGAGTGTGGGTTGCGCGCCCTGTATAATGACCTGGGAAAATGGTATCGAAAGTTGCGACTCCGTCGGAATCAGTAGCTTGGATACCTCTCAAGAAAGTAGAATTCCAACCCCCGTCGGCTACGTTATCAGTAATGTTGATACCGCCGTAGACGCCGGTGGCATTTGCATTCCAAATATCGATGTAGATGTTTGGAACGGGCTTACAGGTGGTTATGTCAATGTATTGTACTTCGAGGTGGAGGGGGACACCGGGTTGTCCGTCAGTCACGTCTTGACGGATGCTTTCGCCGACAACATAGTAAGGACCGTCCGTGACGGCAGGAGTTAGAATGCACGAGGTATTAGCCGCAAAGATGGTGGATTCGGGGGTGTCGAAGCTGTAATCGAGCACACCAGTTTCATTGTGGTTGATGGCCTCATAAACCTCAAGTGTGGCGAGATCACGACGGAATTTCTTGGGCACTATTCTTAGATTAGTATTGATCCTCAGTAGAATGTAGATGTAGTAGCTTTCAAGTAGAAATGCTGCAAATGCGTCTACTCACAAGTCTTGATGTCTCGCTTAGCTCGAAGAGAACGAGCAGCTTCTGCACGACGAGCAACGGATCGTGCAGTAAGTTGGCGATGCTTCAAAGATCCAGAGCAAGAGTCGAGAGACCGTTTGGCAGCAGAAGCCATTATATTACGAGCGAAGATTTCTCGCTCGATAGCATGGTGATCATGGTGCTCGCCTGGATGAGCAATGACAGGTGCAAGGCACGCTGCCGAAAGTGCAAAAGCGATTTTGGAAATTTGAACCATGTTGATGATCGATAGGAATGGAGAACCGGAAATGGTGCCTCTATTCAAGTTTGAATGATGAAGTGGAAGTGAAGATGAAGAGGATGATGATGACAATAAAGAGAGATATCGAGGTCTTATTTATGTTTTTGAAATACCGAATCTCTATTACGGAATCATAAAATCAATATGAATATATCACTCAACTCGTCACCATCATGTTGATCCCTTCTAACCATGAATGTCACTAGTACCCAGCGTCGCCAGCATAGTCAGTAGTCCATTCAATCTTGGCAATGTAAAGCCCTTGCGGTGTTCGTAATGAACTTCGTAAGCACCAGTTTATCCCAGTCGATCTGTTTCGAAATATCTCATTCATGGTTGGTTCAAAGACACTTGAATATATGGTTGCCGTCCTCCATAACTTCCTCTTCTTCCAGGGCCTCGATGATGAAGAATTCCCATGGGGCATATTGCATCGCTTAAAGATGCACATGAGCTGTAAGTGGGATAACCTTATAAAGAACCTATAAACTAGGCTGTAAATCAAACCTAATTCTTGGTATAGGGCCTGTCAAAAGGCGAGGACGCGCAAGTATTATCCGCGAGGGGGGAGTTAACTGAGCTTGTACAATACGACTACAATTTACCGACCCATATACCCCTATGATGTCAGTTCTGAAGGTTAAACAATTAGTCTGGACCTTAAGGAGATGTAATATCCAAACTCCAATCTAAATCACACCTAACTTCCCCCAAACGCATACAAGAATAAAGGCTGAGACTACTTGTGCAACAAAAGCACCAAGATGAGCTTGCCGAACTACATGCTAATTCATCGGGTATATGTCTGACCCAAGCAACAAAACACCATTCTGGAGAATCTTTCAATCCTAGCCAGGTTCTAACCACAACTATACGATGTACACCCCTGGAAGCACATTCAACCCAAACCAATCCTCTCCAAAGCGTCGTACGCAATCCCAAAGCACCTAGCCAAAGATTTTCCGTACCCATACCCAAAAGCAAAACACCCACGAATATACAGAACAAGAAGTATTAAAAAGCAGAAAGTTTCATTGGATGAAAGCTAGGGTTGTCGCGCATGTCCTTAAATGCCAAGCGATTGAACTCGTCATCTCGCGAACTACCAGTCTCCACTTTTGTATTCCACTAACAAGGCTTATATCTTTCGGTACTTTATACTTTCTGCACATGAAGATTCTTTAATTAATCTGTAGGAATTCTGGAATCTACTGTGAGAAAGTTGGAATTATAGGCCAAATACATAGAGGTTTTTAATCAGTTAAATATATAACCTTTTGTAGTTAGATGTAAAAGAAAAGCTTTTGTCTCTTCTTTCCACAATAATCAACCTTCTACATATATATATTTGAACCTATATAACATTAACCCCAAAATCATTGTAAACCTTGTTTTCTCTATCAATGACGTATTACAATATAATATAATTCAGCTTTCTCTTTCAATTCTCCCTCATCGTGTGCTATCGGGATGTACGTATCTCGACCTACCACTTTTACACTACTTACCGATTATTATTGGAATTCGTGATAGAATTACTATAGAAATTATATTTTCTTATAAGTCAACCACTTGAGTTTCTGACCACCTGTGCTTTCCGATTACTATTTATAATAAAACCTCAATTTTCAACTATTAATAAACTTATAATGAATTGATTAAACTAATTAAAATTTGAATTATAAATTGATTATATAAATTTAAATCAATTTTGAGAATTTAAATTTCTATTATAAAAGTGATAGGTTGAGATATATATATTCTAATAATATATTGTAAAAGGGAATTGAAAAAGAAAATTAAATTATATTATATTATAATATATTATTGTCAGCTTGTTGATATTATAACTTTGTTGTATATAAGATTTACTTAATAGATAATAAAAAATAAAAAACTCGCTTAAGTGAGTTATGATCCTGACAATCTGATTGGTCTAAAATGCCTCAGTAAATACCCCGGTAAATAATCGAACAAAAAGCTTGATATAAGCCTTACAATCTCAAACAAATTTAACTTAAAGCTTTTTTCAATTTAACTCAATTCACAATTCAATTGAAATCATTCAACTCTACTGAAATCATTTAACTCTGAAATCATTCAATTCAACTTATTCAATTTAATAATAATAATAATAATAATAATAATAATAATAATAATAATAATAATAATAATAATAATAATAATAATAATAATAATAATAATAATAATAATAATAATAATAATAATAATAATAATAATAATAATAATAATAATAATAATAATAATAATAATAATAATAATAATAATAATATTTAATTTTCAATTATCAAAACAAGTTGATATTCTATCTGTACTCTAATATATATATTTAATATTTAAATTTTTATAAATTTTACTAGACTTTCTCGAAAAGTCAGAGGTCCGGGGTGTAGGCCCCTGGTTTATAAAGAAAACAAAATTTATAATAGTTTTAAAATTGACACTATATAGATTTAAATATATTTATATAAAAATTGATTATTATAAAAAAAGAAAAAACTTTTCTTTTATATCTAATATAAAAAGTTATATAATTAATTAATTAAAAACCTTTATATATCTAATTTATAATTTCAACTCTTTTATATTTTTTCTTTTCAAGAAATATATAATCTTTTTTGATTTATTAAAAAAAAGAATTAAATAAAGATTTAGAATATGAAATATATAAAATATTGTTATTAACAAATTTTAAAATTAAAATTAAAAATTAAACTATACAAAAAGAAATTATTGAATTTAAAGATAACTTTTTTTTCTTCAACAAATAATTTGATAAAAGCCTTTCTTTTATTTATATTCTTATCAATCTTTGTATATTTGAATTTCGGTTTTAAAAGAGGATCCAAAAAAAGAAAAGATTCATTAGATTCTAGATTGAAATATTTAAAAACCTAAAAAGGCAAAAATAGTTTTTTATTTGATTTTATATATAATAAAGATAAATTTCTTTTTTTTTTAAATTTAATTTTTGAGAATATTTCTATTTGTAAACTTTGTTGTTTTCAATCGGGTAAAATAAATAATCTTTATATATTAAAAAGGTTATTAATAAACTTTTTTTGTTATAAAAATCTTTCTTATTCAGTTTATAATTTAAAGATTAAAGAAGGGTTTTTTTTTATTTTAATATAATTTAATTAACAGATTCCTTTCCTTTTCAAGATAATTTCTAAAGAATTGATTGAAAAGTTTCTTTTTCTTAAATAGAAACTTCTAAATTAATAATTTTCTTTTTTTGATTGCATTTCCTTTAAAGAATTCAAATATCTTTTTATTTTTATTTTTAAAAATAATCTATTTTTGTTTATAAATTGAATTCTGTATATGAAAGGAATAATTCTTTTAGATTTTCTTTTTTTATTTTAAAATTAAAAATATAATATTCATTTTATTAAATTCTTCTTTAAGATATCTTATATATATAATCAAATAATATATAAGTTTTGTTTATTATTGTTTTTCAATTTTAAAAATTCTTTTCAAAAATATTTATAAGATAAAAATAAAAAAGATAGTATTTTTATATCAAAAAACAATTATATTAATATATAGAATCTTTCTTTATTAAGTTTTTGAAATAAAAAAGGAATAGATTGATTTTGAAACAATTAATGAAGATTTTTATAAAAGATATTATCTTTTATTTTATTATTATTAATATTTATAACATGATAAATAATTAATATTATAATCGAATTATAATTTTTAATAATATTAATAAATCGAAGGATTATATTAAATAATAAAATTATTATATAAAAGTTTTCTTTAAATAATATTTATTAATAAAATTTATTATCTCATTTAATTTGTTAAAAAGCTACTCTTTAAACGAATCAATCTAAATTATATTAAAGTTGATAAAAAAATAAATACTTTTTAAAAAACTTTTTAATTGAATAAAATTTTTTATTAGAATTAATTGATACTAATTGTTACAATTTATAATTTATATTATAATAGTATTATTAATATCGGTGATTTAGATACCGATTATCAAAGGGGTGTGATTTAATCATTATTTTTAAAAGGTCTAATCATTTACGAATAGAAATCTAGGATTCCTAGGATAAGTATTCTAGACAATTGTATTAGAATAGGATAAGTGTTTTAATTAATCGATTGTAATAGAACAATCATTTTAAAGAATATTATATCTTAAAGTAATAGTTTTTAAAGGAAAACTTTTGAGATAAATATTCTAGAAAAGAAAAGGCTTTAAGATCAATTATATAATGAAAAGCTTTGGAAGCTTTGAAAAATTTTAGAGCTTTAGAAGTTTTTTAAAGCTCTTGAGCTTTATAAAGTTTCTTTTCATTTATTAGTATATAATCAAAGTAATTTTATAGTTTAAAAACTTCGTGCTCAATTCAATTATCAATTAGTTTATTTATATTTTATTTGATTTAATAATGAATTCATTTTCAAATGAATAATTAATAATTAATAGCCTTAACTTATAACTACCAATTATACAAACCTCAGATAGTCGCTGCCTCGATTAGATCGTTATATTAATATTTAATATTTTTAATATATTTCAATTATTGTTTTATTAGATTTAGAAAAATAATAATCTTTAAGAATAATATTATATCTCAACATTTGAAAGTCAATTCAATAAGATCAATAAAAGAATAATATAAAATTATTTTTTGATTATAATTTAGAAATCGGAGAACAAATAAAAAGATAAAAATAAAATGAAATTCTTTATTTATATATATAAATATAATAATTTGTTATAAGAAAATATTATTCTTTAAAATTATTTAAATTAGAGAATAATAATAATTCGAAAATAGATTTTTTCTAAATTTATTATAAAAGTTTTATTTGTAAATAATGAAGATGTTTTCAAAAATAATTTGAAATTTTGGAAAATCTAGATATTTTGAAAAAGTACAAATTATAAAATCCTTATTAAAATTTGATTTTGGAAAAGTACTTTAAAAATAAATTCTTTTTATTAAATCTAACTTTGAATTGTAAAATTATAAAAAAAAAATATATATTCGATTTTGAATTAAAATAATAAAGCCTTCAAACTTATTTAATTTGTTCAATAATCAATTATATAATCAATCTTATCTTATTAAT